GGGCAGTGGGTCTTTGTCAGAGCTTTGTCAGGCTCAACGCCCACGTGCCCCGCCCTCCCCTTGTTCTCTCGCCTCGCCGGTGTGCTTCACACAAGATGACCAGCGCCCCTCCTCGGTTGCGATCGGCTTGGTTTCATTCGGCGTGTCTGAAGAGGACGCTGTCAGCGAGGACGTTATTGCCGACGACTACGTCTTTGGCGGCGTCTGACACAGAAGAGTGGGGAAATTCCGGCGATGAGCCCGAAGTCCCTCCCCCCTCTCAAGCTCCAAGGCCGAAGCCGGACGCCGAACTCATCCGCGTCCTGTCAAAGGCGGTGGAGGACCTGGGCCTCAAGTGGTTGACTCCGGGAGAGCCCGCCTACGGCCTGTTGGACGAGTGGTACCTGCCGGGAAGCCGTCAACAGTCCTCTCGCCAACGCCCTGCCCTGTTCTTGCCTGCAGTTCATGACGAGCTCACCAAGATGCGGCGTGCCCCCTACTCGGCTCGGGTAAATCCCTCTACAGCAGCAGCTCTCACCACCGTTGATAGAGCTGACGACAAGGGATACAGCAAGCTCCCCCCTCTGGAGGAAGCGGTTGCTGCTCTTCTGTGCCCGCCATCTGCCCTTGCATTGAAGGGCCCATGCAGCACATCCATCTAAGCCCTGCAGGATCACCTCGGCGCTCACCAACAGGGCTTATGCAGCAGCCGGCCAGGCCGATTCGGCGCTGCATACAATGGCAGTTCTCTAGGTGTTTCAAGCCAAGCTTCTCCACGGCATGGACGAGTCTGGCCGAGAACACCAGGAGGCTTTCAAGGAGCTGCGCACAGCAACAGATCTGGCTCTGCGCGCCACGAAAGCAAAGGCGCAGGCGATCAGCAAGACCATGGCCAGTCTGGTGGTGCTGGAGCGCCACCTATGGTTAAACCTTACTGAGATCAGGGACGCTGAGAAAATGGCCTTCCTCGACTCGCCAGTCTTGCCGAAGGGGCTGTTCGGCCCCGCTGTGGATGGGTTTGCAGAGAGGTTTTTGGAGGCTCAGAAGATGTCGCAAGTGCTGCATCACTTCCTCCCCTAACGCTCTGGCCCCGCGGCTGTGAGCTGCCAGAAGAACTCCGCCACTCAGCCTGCAAAGCCAGCGCAGCCTCAGCTCCAACGAAAATCAGAGCCTGGACTGCAACAGCGCTCCCGGACGGCAAAACGCTTCCCCTTCCCGAAGCGTCAAGGTCCCCGCCCACGAGTTGTGCTGGACCCCGAGCCGCCTAAGCCGTCCTGATGTGCCAGAGAGAAAGAGGAGGGGCTCTGTTCTTGCCTTGGCTGGAACGCCCCGAAAAACAGCTTGTTTTCATCCTCCATCCCTCTGAGAACCTCTGAGCAATGGAGTTTCGTTTCTAGCGGGTCACGGCCTGCAGGTGCAGCACGTACCTGAATGTTTTACCGCTGTGATAGCGGACCCACATACAATAAAGAGCAAAATTTCTCTTCACTCTCTCTCACTCTTTTGAATGCGAGTTCCCCGTCACTTCTTGGCGAGCTCTCATTCGAAAGAATAAACCCTCTCGCCTCCCGTTTCACGGCTTGGGCAGTCATTCCGGGAGTATCGGGTTGGGTTTTAAAAACAATTTGACGAGGTTTGCCAATTTGCTCGCAGGCCACCTCGCTTCAGAGGCGTCATCCAAACTTCTGTTCCGGACAACAAGGCCCTCGTTCTCCGACAGGAGGTGCAGACGTTGCTTGCAAAAGGCGCTGTGGAAATAGTGCCCTCAGCGAACAGCGAGTCAGGCTTTTTCAGCCGCTACTTCCTCGTCCCAAAGAAAGATGGCGTCGCTTATGCGCCGGTCGTTCAAGGTGTTAACTATAAAACAGATCCTCGCGCACATTTGCCCCGAGGACAGGCTTTTGACTGTGGATCTGAAAGATGCATACTTTCACATTCACATAGCCCCCCATCACAGACCGTTTTTGAGATTCGCGTTCGAGGGAGTGGCCTATCAGTACACAGTCCTTCCGTTTGGACTGTCTCTGGCCCCGCGCACTTTCACGAAGTGCGTAGACACGGCTCTTTCCCCTCTGAGACAGATGGGAATCCGTGTTTGAACTACCTCGACGATTGGCTGGTTCTAGCCAGAACAGAACGGGAGTTGGCTGCCCACAGAGAGCTGTTACTCAGCCACTTGGAGCGCCTTGGGTTGATCATCAACCCCTGCACAAGAGTCAGTTGTTACCCAGGGAGCAAGCGGTCTTTCTGGGAACGATTTCCGGGCATGGGTTATGCCGGAATGATCCCTGACTATTCAGCGATTGGTGGCATCCCTCAAACCGGGGATGACATGCCCCCTAAAGGTTTTTCAGAGGTTGCTTGGCCTCATGGCGGCCGCTGCCTCTGTGATTCCTCTGGGCCTGCTTCACATGCGGCCCCTTAAGTTTTGACTCAAGGCCCGCATTCCACCCCACGCTTGGCGCCTGGGGCAGCTTCCTGTCAGGGTAAACCACCGCTGTGTCAAGGCTGTGGCCCCCTGGACAACCTCTTACCTGTTCCAAACAGGAATGAGGTTAGGCACGAGCTCCAAAAGGAAGGTAGTCACGACGGATGCCTCCAACTCAGGTTGGGGCGCCCTGCTGGAGGGCAATCCGGTGTTCGGCTCCTGGTCAGCCCCGGAGCAATGCCTGCATATCAACTGCCTAGAGATGTTGGCGGTTTTCTTAGCCCTGAAAACCTTCCTTCCGGCCTTGAAAGGGCACCACGTCTTGGTCCGGTCGGACAGCATGACGGTGGTGGCTTATATCAATCATCAAGGTGGTCTTAGGTCACACACTCTTTGCAGGATGGCTCGTCGCCTCCTCTTTTGGGCACACAGGGAACTCCTCTCACTAAGGGTGGTTCATGTGCCGGGCAGATTGAACCTTGGCACAGACATGCTGTCCAGAGGCAAGGTAGCCCCGGGCGAATGGGCGTTACACCCTCAAACGGTTCAAGAGATCTGGTCAGTCTTTGGGAAGGCAGAGGTCAACCTCTTTGCCTCAGAAGACAACTCTCACTGCCCAACATATTTTTCAATACAGCGAGATGCTCTGGCCCACGATTGACCCAGTGTTCGCCTACTGTATATGCTTTTCCCCCGATTGCCCTGATTCCTCAGGTCATTAGGCAGGTCAGGGAGACCAAGTGCTCTCTTCTCCTAGTGGCCCCGCTCTGGAGGAACCAGGCCTGGTTCCCGGAGCTAGTGCCACTCTCAGCTGCAGCCCCGTGGCCCATTCCACTGAGGAGGAACCTTCTCTCGCAGGCGAAAGGCATGATTTGGCATCCCCAGCCGGAGCTGTGGAGCCTTCATGTATGGTGCCTCAGCAGCTACACAAACGTGAACAAATCAGGCTTCAGTACAGAGTAAAACAGGAGTTTTCCCATACACAACGCTCGTTCCCTTATTTCAGGGAACCGAGGTTACGTCAGTAACCGGAGCGTTCTATCATTCCGAAGTCAATGGGTTTTTGAATAGGTTTTTGGTTAAAAGCCTGAAATATAAGGTGTGTGGTTAACACAAGCCCAAGATATTTTCATAAGAAATCATCAGTAATACCCACTTGGAAAAACTGCCTATGGAAAAATCGTATTGAGTTTTTCTCAAGGGAATCAGGGTGATGCAAATTTTTCCAGGTACTACAAAATTTTGTCATCAGTGCAGCGCTCTATTCCAGTATTTGTAAGGCAGTGAAAGGATTGTGTTAAAGCTTTAGGTACATTTAAAGTTTCAGTTTTTGGTTTGGCATAAGTGCCTTGAACTTGTTGTCATGGCACACATCTTATCTGCATGATGAAGTGTTTTACACAATGCCGTTTCTGTGTCCTGTTTTGCAATGTACACATTAAAAGTAAAGGTTCCAGAAGAGGATTTTCACAGTGATGACATAGAAACCCAAAAAGGTTCTGTGGGAAGATTTTTACAAGAACAATTCTTAAAAGAACCATTTTTATCATTTTAATAATCTAAAGAATTCTAAGAACCATTTTAATAATCTAAAGATTTTTTTTGCTCTATAAAGAACCTTGAAGAACCTAAATGATAAAAAAGTAGGCATATGCAAATAAATACAAGAAAGCAGTATAATTAGTTTAGTTTGCAAATATTACAACAATGTACAGACTGCCTGTTAGATTATTAAAGGCAATATTCTAAAAATGACAATTCAACATGATCAGACTTTAAACCCAAAGCTGAAATTATTTACAAAGCAAATTTGAATGGAGTCTGTATTGTACTGTATATGAAGTGGTTGAGCTGAATTCATTGCAAAAGTTTAATACTTGATCCGTAACCTGAATGTTTGAGAAAAAACTAATACAATGCTGCTTTGCAAATACTGTAAACAGAATGCTTATCTCAGCCGTGTGCAGACATATGTGAATAGAGAGTGCAGGTGATTAATCACATTTTTGAATGGCTGGATATGAGTAACTACGTAGGTAGGTGAGATTGACTGATTTGAATGTGGTTTGAAAGTGTGTGAACTTCCTCTCACGCAGGTTCTGGGGGTCTGTGTTACTCCTTTCATATGAGAGAGGATGCTGTGAGAGCTTTGTGGGAATGTCAAGAATGGTGTTGCGAAAGTATTACAAGAGGCCCGTTTCCTCTGTAGGGTAACGGAGGCGTTCTTAAAACATCTGGAAACACCAGATGAACTGTGATGTCAGTCGGGAAGTATTCATTGCGGTCACAGTGACAAATCATTGCTCACTGTACTTGTATAAAAAATTGTGTGTGCAGTAGGAGTTGAATGTTGTGAAAATGTGACTGTTTTGAGATGGGAAATGAGGAGAACTGCGTCATCTCTAAAAAATGTGAATTTCTCTGTAAATGTTTCGAGGGATGTTGGCAGGGTTAGGAATCATAAACCAGAAAAAAATCACTTCGTTTAATCTGCTGTGGGAATTTAACACATTCTTGATTTATTGGAGAACTTTAAAGCTGATATTATACATCACGAGTTGTGTAACCAGAACTCTGCTTTCCTCTTCCGCAGTTTTCCGTTTTTCTAGGAATCATATTTTTCCTGGAGTTGACCGCGGGAGTCTTGGCGTTTGTCTTTAAGGACTGGATTAAAGACCAGCTCAAGTTCTTCATCAACAACAATATTAGAGCATACAGAGATGACATTGACCTACAGAATCTCATCGACTTCACACAAGATTATGTAAGAACACAACGGCACACGCATAAAACCAAACCAAGAAAAGTGTTGTTTTTTTTTGTTTTTTTTAAAGGTAAAGTTACTTTTTTGTGATAATCGCAATTTAATGTGCAAACATAAGTCTAAATCAATAAGTATGCCCTTCTGAAATGTTTCTCTGTTTATTTTGCTGGTATAATAATAATAAAAATAATATTTGTAATAATTATTTATATATATATATATATATATATATATATAGGTATAACTGCTGTCAAACGAATATATATATATATATATATGCATTAGCCATTCAATAAGTTATTCATATTTAGTTCTACTACTATTTATTAAATAAGAAAATGTAAAAATACACTTGATTTTGCAATTTTGTGAGCTAGCAGCAATATGTTTAAATCTGTAATGGCTTTCAGCTGTTGGTTGGTTCGCACATGGATATTCAATGCATGTATGTTTCTGCAGTGGGAGTGTTGTGGAGCCTTTGGGCCTGAAGACTGGAATCTGAACATTTACTTTAATTGTACTGACACTAATCTGAGCAGAGAGAAATGTGGGGTTCCCTTTTCCTGCTGCACCAAGGACCCTGCTGTGAGTAAACCGCATATACACTCTTAACACGCATGCAGCACACACAGACACACGTCTTCCAGTCATCTTACCGCCTAGAATGTGTCATTGTCTCCTTCCAGAAGACGTGGGAACATAAACAGGAAGTGATGTAGATCCAGCAGACAGAGCGCACCCACATACGACACAACAGTTCTCCATTTAATATAATGCTCAAAGCCTATGATTTAATGTGGAATGTTAAGTTATCCAGAGGACTAAATCCTGGCTTTCTTATTGTTTCTCTTCTTAAAGGAGGATGTGATAAACACACAGTGTGGATATGACATTCGAGCGAAAGATGTAAGTATGCATTTGTCAAAAGAATATTCACCCAAAAAGTCATCGTTTATTCACAAACTTTCTTTTTCTGTGGAACAAAATTGGATTTAAAGATCCTAGCCACTCTTTTCCATATAAATGAAGTGACTGAGAACTGGGGCTGTCGATGTCCAAAATGACACAAAATCCCCATAAAATTATTATAAAAGTGGTTCATATGCACTATATTCCAAGTTCTCTGAAGCCATACGATAGCTTACTCTAATGTTTTGTAAGTAGAATTGTTTAAGCTTTTGCATCTTTGGTTAATGTGTGTTTTTATGTGTGAAGGACAACGAACAGAAGATGTTTATACACACAAAAGGATGTGTACCACAGTTTGAGAAATGGTTACAGGAGAATTTAACCGTAGTTGCCGGAATCTTCATAGGAATTGCACTTCTGCAGGTGAATAAACAACAACGTTCATTGAAATACACATGCACACTGAACATTATATTGTGTATGTCCCACTATAAACAGCAGTCATTTATAAGTTAAGGAAAAAATAAAACTGAGGATAGATAATTTACAAAATGTACTCTCCTTGACTGTAATGCAGTATCTTCTAAGAGTATCAAGACACATTGACAGTTCTGTCATTTTACATTTGTCCTGCATTTTAATTATTATTTATTTTGTTTATTAATATGCTCTGAAACCTAACAATATTTAATGTTTATATTATTTATATAATTTGAATATATTTTACAGAGAGGTTTAAGCCCACCATTCAAAAGTTTTGGGTCAGTACGTTTTTATTGTTGTTGTTTTTGAAAGTAATGAATACTTTTATTCACAGAGGATGGATTAAAATGCATAAAAGTGACAGTAAAGAGTGTTGGGCGATATGCTTCATAGTCATATCATCCTATCGTCAGCCTGTGAGATCACCGATACACAATATCATCGTGCTAATTTATTTAATTATTATCATAGCCAGCGAGTGAACCAACTCCAAGGTACAGCTAAAAGCAGCCTAATATTAGTGTAATCTACACATTATATCTTTTTTGTCTAGTAGCATATGGATGTCATGTCATAAAATATTTTTAATATGCGTGAATTTGTATTTAACATGATCACAATTTAATAAAAACATTGTAAGTTACTAATTATAATGCTTACATTACCTCAGTTATACAAACAGCAGCTACAGAAAACGAGCAAAGAACATTTACATCATCAAAGAACATCATCACTGACTTAAAGGGATAGTTCACCCAAAAATGAAAATTATGTCATTAATTACTCATTTGAAATAGAATTCCTCATTAATTACTCTCAAAGCTACGAGAATACTTTTTGTGAGCAAATAAAACCAAAATAAAGACTTTATTCAACAATTCGTCTCCTCCTCCATTTTGGAGAGTATCACATACGTAAACAACGCATGCTGTTCTGTGTCAGCAGCACTGTACGTGGATGCGCTGTTTACGTTGTTTGCGCTTTGATCTGAACGTAAACAGCGTATCGGCATATATACATTGCATACGTTGTTTACGTATGTGATGCTCTCCAAAATGGCGCTATAGGGTGACGCGGAGGAGACGAATTGTTGAATAAAGTCGTTATTTTTGTTTTCTTTGCGCACAAAAAAGTATTCTCGTAGCTTCGTTAAATTACGGTTGAACCACTGATGTCACATGGACTATTTTAACGATCTCCTTGCTGCGTTTCTGGACATTGATCGTGTAAGGACCCTTGCTGTCTAAGGGAGGGTCAGAGATCAATCAGATTCCATCAAAAATATCTTAATTTGTGTTCCGAAGATGAACGGAGGTCTTACGGGTTTGGAACGACATGAGGGCGAGTAATTAATGACAGAATTCTGATTTTGGGGTGAACTATCCCTTTAAGTCTAGCGTGAGTTTATGCACTTAAAAAAAAAAAACACTCCCATTATAATCAGTGAAGCTACATCTTAAACTTACATCACACATACATCTGCACTTTCTCGTTTATGATGAGAGAATTCGCGAGAGAGCAGAATTCAGTCAGCGAGCGAGCACTGAACTGCGAAACTCCGGTATTTCAGCGATGACTCATCTGAACGCTTCTGATTGGCCATTGCATTCATAAGCTCAACAGAATCGTGTGTGATTGGTTATAACGCTGTAAAAATGTGTAAAAATAAATATGATGGCACAAATAAGCCCTAATATTAATTAGATAATAATACTAGCCTAATAAAAATAATAATCTTAATAATAATCAAAGGCATCAACCACAGGCGATATCTCTGACTATCGTTGATACACGATACTTTGGTCTATCGGCACAACCCAAGTAAAGACATTTTTACTGTTACAAAAGAATTCTATTTCAAATGCTGATCTGTTTAATTTTCTATTAATCAAAGGATACTGGGAAAAAAGGTAACCTATCACGGTTTCCACAAACATGTTAAGCAACAACTATTTTCAACATTGGTAATAAAAAATGTTTCTTGAGCAAAAAAACGTTGTTATATAGTTATTTTCAATTGTAACAATATTTCACAGTATTATTGTTTTTACTGCTTTTTGATCAAATAAATGCAGCTTCTGTAAGCGTCTTACTAATTCTCCCCAAACTTTTGAATGGTAGCATTGGAGCTTTTGATATAGCTTACGCTCCCTGACAATTGAATAAACAGGGCCCTCTGATGCATTAAAACCCATTGTCTTAATTTATCTCCAGTGTCTTGTGAGTGCTCTTTCATTTCAGCAGCTGTCCTTCGAATTTACAACCGAAATGCAATCTGCCAAGCGTGGTTATTTTATTGATTTATAGACAGCTGTGTCCACTTTAGGGCATATAATAGTTTAGAATTGAATTTTGCATTAGATTTAATAATGTCCAGGAAGCCACATGTCAAACATAGTGATGATTAATTCAGTGTCGTTTTGTTTTGCCTGATATAAAAACCTTTTCCCTGCTTCTAGATATTTGGGATCTGCCTGGCACAGAATCTTCTGAGTGACATTGAGGCGGTCAGGGAGAGCTGGTAAGGAACATCCCTGATAAAAGAATTACACCCGTCAACGTCTTTATTCAACAATTCGTCTCCTCCGCGTCACCCTGGTGCCATTTTGGAGAATATCCACTGAACGTAAACAGCATATGCTATTCTGTGTCAGCTGCGTCATGTTATTTTTGTTTTCTTTGCGTACAAAAAGTATTCTCGTAGCTTCGTTAAATTACGGTTGAACCACTGATGTCACATGGACTATTTTAACGATCTCCTTGCTGCGTTTCTGGACATTGATCGTGTAAGGACCCTTGCTGTCTAAGGGAGGGTCAGAGATCAATCAGATTCCATCAAAAATATCTTAATTTGTGTTCCGAAGATGAACGGAGGTCTTACGGGTTTGGAACGACATGAGGGCGAGTAATTAATGACAGAATTCTGATTTTGGGGTGAACTATCCCTTTAAGTCTAGCGTGAGTTTATGCACTTAAAAAAAAAAAACACTCCCATTATAATCAGTGAAGCTACATCTTAAACTTACATCACACATACATCTGCACTTTCTCGTTTATGATGAGAGAATTCGCGAGAGAGCAGAATTCAGTCAGCGAGCGAGCACTGAACTGCGAAACTCCGGTATTTCAGCGATGACTCATCTGAACGCTTCTGATTGGCCATTGCATTCATAAGCTCAACAGAATCGTGTGTGATTGGTTATAACGCTGTAAAAATGTGTAAAAATAAATATGATGGCACAAATAAGCCCTAATATTAATTAGATAATAATACTAGCCTAATAAAAATAATAATCTTAATAATAATCAAAGGCATCAACCACAGGCGATATCTCTGACTATCGTTGATACACGATACTTTGGTCTATCGGCACAACCCAAGTAAAGACATTTTTACTGTTACAAAAGAATTCTATTTCAAATGCTGATCTGTTGAATTTTCTATTAATCAAAGGATACTGGGAAAAAAGGTAACCTATCACGGTTTCCACAAACATGTTAAGCAACAACTATTTTCAACATTGGTAATAAAAAATGTTTCTTGAGCAAAAAAACGTTGTTATATAGTTATTTTCAATTGTAACAATATTTCACAGTATTATTGTTTTTACTGCTTTTTGATCAAATAAATGCAGCTTCTGTAAGCGTCTTACTAATTCTCCCCAAACTTTTGAATGGTAGCATTGGAGCTTTTGATATAGCTTACGCTCCCTGACAATTGAATAAACAGGGCCCTCTGATGCATTAAAACCCATTGTCTTAATTTATCTCCAGTGTCTTGTGAGTGCTCTTTCATTTCAGCAGCTGTCCTTCGAATTTACAACCGAAATGCAATCTGCCAAGCGTGGTTATTTTATTGATTTATAGACAGCTGTGTCCACTTTAGGGCATATAATAGTTTAGAATTGAATTTTGCATTAGATTTAATAATGTCCAGGAAGCCACATGTCAAACATAGTGATGATTAATTCAGTGTCGTTTTGTTTTGCCTGATATAAAAACCTTTTCCCTGCTTCTAGATATTTGGGATCTGCCTGGCACAGAATCTTCTGAGTGACATTGAGGCGGTCAGGGAGAGCTGGTAAGGAACATCCCTGATAAAAGAATTACACCCGTCATGAGATCTGCATTTTGATTAGAGTCACAACACAACACTAACAATGAAACCATTTATTAAAACCATCTTTTTTTATTCATTTAGACTGGTAGCAAACACCTGTTTGGTTTAATGCGGTTTCAGTCCCAACTCATAACAAGCACACTGGATGAAATCTTGTTTTCTTAAGCTGTGAGTTTGATGGTAATGAGCAGGTAGAGATTGTCACATCTTACTAACATCTGTTTTTCATCCTCCAGTTTGTTCACCTGAAGCACTCGAGCCGTTCTGCAGACAGATCCTCCATTTCTCTGTCAGTCAGCAGTAGGGTTGGCACATTGTCATCACAGTATCCTAGCAACCAGTGAGGGATTCCATTCACATACCTCCTTTATATTTCAATGTACAGCGACATCTTCATGTTTTGCTTTGATTTGCTTTTAATCCTTCAAGTACAAAATTCAACAGTTTTAACACACAACTCAGTTGTCGTGTTTAAGAAACACTTAAAGGAATAGTTCACCCATAACTGAAAATTTGCTGAAAATGTACTCACCATCAGGCAATCCAAGATGTAGATGAGTTTGTTTCTTCATCAGAACAGGTTTGGAGAAATGTAGCATTACATCACTTGCTCACCAATGGATCCTCTGCAGTGAATGGGTGCCGTCAGAATGAGAGTCCAAACAGCTGAAAAAAAAAGCATCACAATAATCCACAAGTAATCAACACAACTCCAGTCCATCAATTAACATCTTGTGAAGTAAAAAGCTGCATGTTTGTAAGAAAAAAAATCCATAATTTAAGGCGTTTTAACTTTAAACCGTCGCTTCTGGACAAAATACCATCGTCCATAATAACACTTCACAAGACATTAATTGATTTGGAGTCATGTGAATTGTTGTGATGTTTTTATCAGCTGTTTGAACTCTCATTCTGACGGGACACCCATTCACAACCCATTTCAGCACATTTTTGGGTGAACTATTCGTTTAAGGCCACTTGCATTCTGTCTGTAACATTTTTGACTGTTGGTTTATGTACAGTATATATCCTTCAGATGAGCGTATTTGACACAATAAGCATTGCATTTTGCAAGTTAAAATTAATGCAACTAAAAACAATTGATCTGTTGGGTAGAAGAAGCAATGGTTCAGTGAATGATTTGTTTCAATGTAGGCAAATGCAAGCAAGTTCAGTGTTTATTGGTTATTATTAGTTCTGAATGAGTCAGTGCACTTTTTCTGCATTTTCTGCACTGTTTGTAGGGAGAAAATAAAAATAAAAAATCTGCGTAATTATGCAGAATGGATATTTAAATGATAAAATGTGTTCGTTAATGCTAAGAGTACTATAGTTCTATTGGTAGCTAATTACATAATCACAATCAAATTAGGCTGAGTATTTATTACTTGAGGGGGATGTGTAGAATTGTGCGAATGACTAGCATTCTGTGGAAATCAGATTCTGTGCAGACCCAGTTTTAGTGAGACAGTAGTAGTCTGCAGATTGTGTTCAATGAAGAGTTCCTGTCTACTTCACACTACATGAGTGTTTGACTCACATTATGACTTTCAAATGTACATAATCCATTGAGACTATTTGTTTATTTTGTTCACATTGTCAGATTGTGTGTGTATATGGATTCCATGGTTTGATGGATTTTATAAAACACAGTTGCTTTTGAAACTAAGGGAAAATGCACTGCATGCTTATTGGAATAACACTACATTTTCCCAGTGTGTTCAGCTATATGAAGATATTTTTGTGAATCGCTATGTTTATCTGTACTGAATTTTCAAATGATAGCCACTGTGTAAGTAATGGTGTCACTAGAATGTTTTTAAAACATTAGCACTAAGATTTTGCCAGATTTAAGACTGATTCAGATTCTGTTGACCTACCAAACTGGGTATATGGGTGAATTTCATGTCAAATAACATGTCTAGGTCAAACCCCCACCCCCAAAAAATGTTTAAAAAAAATTATATTTTCCATGAAGAAAAATAAGCCTATTTTTCTTAACGTTTAAGGCTGTGAGTGACACAATTTTTATGGCATTTTAAGCATGTTGTCCCTTCTAATTCTCAGTACTATAATAGTAAAAAAAATAGCTGTATTTTTATTATTTAATTAATTTCATAAAATATTTATATGGGAGTATTTGTTGTATTCTCTTTAATTTCTGAGAATTTTAATAAAAATCCAGATTCCAGACGGTATAATTTTCAATACAGTGAGATGTGAATTGCAAAAAAAACTATTGGTAATGGTACCGAAAAATCTTGATGGTACAAAATAGGCTTAATTTAATTATCTTAGAGTTTAGAGAAATTGGAGAATTTAATGATTTTGATGAAAGCATCTGCCAAATGCATAAATATAAAAGGGATGGACTATAATTGGGACATATTGTTATGAGATTCACCCATATGTATGATATTGAATCATGAAATATTTCTGAAATCATGAAAGATGGCGAGAATGTTTTGCTTTGATTGTGAAATGAATCTGCAGCCTGTTAGATAGTGGTTTTGTGACTTTTGTAAAAACAGGGTTTGTGAGATTATTTGAAACACAAGCTGATTTAATGAATCCCTATGGTTGTGATAATGCCTTTTCACTTTACACTTTCCTGATGTCTGTAACCTTAATATATCATAATATGTTTGTTTTTAGTTCATTAAAGTATTGGACAGTCTTGGTGAAAGGTAAAAACACTTAACTGGTTTTGCAGTATGTGCACAGTGAAACTGGAGAACAGGGACGTTTTAGTATTAAAAATATGCAGGTCTAAATTAATCCCTTTTTTTTTTTTCTAGCACTTGTAATCTAGCCCATGCTGGCTCTGGCTTAAAACTCATAGCCTAAACTTTTGGTACATTGTTGACTGGAAGTGCCATAAAAATATTATTAAATATTGGCATATTTTTCCAGTTTCTCAACAAAACAAAACAAAAACAGCAACACAATTTAAATTAAAATTGCTGCAATTGTATCATACTGTATAATCATCTTGTTATTATCAGAAAATGTAGTTTTTCTGAGCAAGATTATTAAAACTTTATCGTTATAGTTATTGCCCTAGCTGTGAACGGGTCATACATATTGTCTCAATAATGGCATACTTTAGAAAAAGAAAAGGAGGTGGATCTGCATTTCTTATATTTGGCCAGAATTTAGAATTAGTTTCCCTGTTTCTGTGTCATTTCTTCATATTAATTTTACATGACCTTATTTAACAAATGTAATAAACCATTTACATTGTTTCCCACGATGGTGGTATTGGAAACAATAAATTTTATATGTTTTTTTTATGTGTGGTTAGCCTGTGTCTATGTCTGTGACTCTTTTCTAGACACTACTTATTAACAATAAAGTGTTATTAATTGTCTCTAAAATTTAATGATCAACCTACATAAGGCTCACATGCCATGCAGTGTTTTAAAATGTTAATCTTTATAAAATGTAATATATTTAATGAAATTGAGTGTTAAAAGACAATAACAAACCTTATTATTCACCCCCTTATAATATTTTTTTACAAAATACAAATTAAAATTCATCATAAAAACTTCATTGCAGTTACGCTATTAAATATTACTAAAATTGTACTGCAATCTTTTAAAATTTGCTTCTGTTTAATAAAGTTGTAGATGTGAGCATATTATATTGTAGCTTTTATTAAAATTGTAGCTACATCTAAAGACTGCATATACTGTATTCCTCATGCAGTCTTAAGTAGACGTTAGATGGCGCTAGAGGATATGAAAGATGTCATCCAAGGTGTCGAAGAGGACCTGCCCTTTAAAGATAAACTGATGAAGGTCAGTATTTAGTAAATAGAAATTTATATTAATTTACAGCTGTACAAGAACAGTAACAACATTGCAAACAACGATTCATTTATAAGCTACTTATTAGTGATTCTGTAACACACGTGTCAACGCTTACAGATTAACCTTTGCCTGGGTCTTTATGGTTTATGGTTAAATAAACTGCATTAATTTCACAGTTAACACACACATAGATCTTTACTTTAAGAGGTATAATTAAACACTATGATGTTCTGTTAAAAAAGTATTTGGCTATTCCTTGAAATCCACCAATTAACATTAAAGTATAAATATGAAACAAATTTTGACATTGGTAACGTTTAACACACACACACACACTTAACTAAATTTCAGGGGTGTGTCCACCTTGAGACCTTGCTGGGAATGAAACCGCGATGCCTAAATCACCTCAAGTGCACTTGTTTATACAACCCTTCTTCTTCCTTTTGGAAGCAGCATTGGTAATCTGAGCAGATTAGGATCTGCTGTGTCTTCTTAATCCCACCACGATTAAAATAGGATTAGAACTCATCTCCTGGCCTCAGTATCACAGGAACTGCTCAGTGGCACTGACACTCTCTGTCTTTCTGTCCCATGGAGCAAAGGCACAGCAAAAGGGGTCACTGTGTTTTGAACTGTCATCATGTCACTTTTCAGTGACACTTTTCACTTTTCTCACACTGACAAATACTGTAGGCTACTATACACATACGTATAAAATTAATGGGCATAATTCAACAGTTTAAATATGTAAATTTGTATTCTACAGGACGACCAACCATGTGTTCAGCAATGGCTGCACAAATTTAAAGACAATATGGGAAAAGGACATTGGGGCTGTAATCGGGGACGAAGAGTGGAAAATAATTTTGTCAAATACAGGTAAATACGTAAGAGAAGCCAGAGGGCAATTTACACAGTACAAAATCATACACAGGTTCTATCTGACACCTCTTAGACTTAATAGAATGGGTCTGACAAATAATGTTTGTTGGAAATGTCAAAAGGACAGAGGTGCTTTTATTCACTGTATCTGACTGGGAGTGTCCACTTATTCAGCCTTTATGGCACCAAATTTTAAATGGAACAACAGTACCATTATCACCAAAATTGTGTCTATTGGGAGACAGGGAGCAGATGTCAAATATTTCAAATGGAGTGTTCGCATATATTTGTAAATGTTAAACTGTAACTTCTAGTAGGCCTATAGTAGGCCCTCAGTCAATAGTTATTTTACCATTTATGATGAACAATATTTATATTAAACAGTGCATTCTTTCACAAGAAAATGTGTTAAAATTAATGCCTACACACTCACACACACACAAACACAATATTAAGAACACACTTTTATTTATACGTTAACTTACATTATAACATTTGCTACATCATGGATTTTGAAATGGCTGGCATTTCTATAGAATTATCTGTATACTAAATACAAAGTTTAATATAAGTTAAAGGTATGTTTTCAATTATGAAATTACATTTTATGTTAGCCTATTTTTTTTAAAGGCGCACTAACTCTTTATCGGCATCTGTGGTTAAAGCTGCAGTCCGTAAATTTGGCCTCTTTGTCACCATCTCTGTTTGAAAACCTGCAATTGCAGCTGTGTGCGGAATTA